AATCACCCCTCTCCCAACATCATATGCTTATAGTGATTCTCAGTGAAACCCACTATTCAGAATCGCTGTAACAATATTAATTATCTTAATTAATTTGTAGTCTTGATTAAAATTTACAACATTTTTTAAAACTTTATTAAATATTTACTTGAATTTGAATAAGATTTTTGATCAAGTTTGAGTCAAATTTGAAATTTGAATCAAACTTGAATCAGATTTTTAATTGAATTCAAATTTTTAAATTAAATTTTTAATTCAAACTGAATCAAACTTTTTTTCAAAATTCTAGCTTTAACTTAATATATAATATGATTATAATCAAAATTATCCAATTTCTTTTTTCAACTTTCTATAAATTATATGTAATATACCAATTTTTTTTGAGCACAAAAAATAGTATAAATACTAATTATTAATACTTTTTTATAAGTTGATAGAGCTTTTATATTGAATATTATATGTTTATATATTTCATGTTCAAATACAATAAATTAGTTACTTTAGAATATAATATCTTAATATCTAATAATTAAATTTGAGTGAAAATATTATTGTTTAATTTGTCTAATTTAGACAAATCAATAATAATATTTTTACTCAAATTTAATTATTAAATATTGAAATATTATATTCTAAAGTGACTGATTCATATTTAATGAACAATTTTTTATTAGAAATAATTATTAAAAAAGTAAATTAATTAATTTAGAACATATATAATATTTTGATTTTCAGTAATTCAATTTTTATTGATTAGAAAATTGAATGATATTATTTTTGTTTGAGTTAGATCATTAAAGATCAATATATCATATTCTAAATTGAATGATATTATTTTTGTTTGAATTAGATCATTGAAAATGAAAATATCATATTTTAAATTGACTGTTAATTAATTTTTGTTAATATTAAAAAAATGAAGCTTCTACTTTAAGATACAATATTTTAATATTTAGTAATTCAATTTGAACAAAAATACTATTATTTAATTTGTCTTGACTAGACAAATTGAATAATAATATTTTGTTCAAATCAGATTACTGAATGTTAAGAATTAGATTATTAATATGTTTTACTTATTAAAATATAATATTTTTTACTCAAAAAAAAAACAAAGTGAAAGAATCTTTGTTATTATATATTTAGCTCTGAAATATTAATATTAATACAAAAAATTAGGATAATACTTGTTTATTTTTTTCATTTTAACTTTGTCTTCATATATAATTTTTAATTTTTTTAAATTATAATAATTTCAGTAAAAATTGATATAGAATTTAGATATATTTCTTTATTTTTCTACTTTTTATTTCAAAATTTATTATCGTTATACGTACATGTATCTCGTATGCATATTGTATGGTACATACATCTAAAGTCATCAAATGTTTGTATTTTAAAACGGATAAACTTCTTTACTAAGGAGTAAATACAAAAGTTAATCCGTAAATATGCTCAGAAGGATCTATTCTATCATATTTAAGGATTAAATTTTATATTTACTTCTTAGTAAAGAAGTTTATCCGTTTTATCAAACTTTTGTTGACTTTAGATGGCATGCACCATATTACATATTTTTGACCCCACAAGACTTTAAATGGCATGTACCCACAAGACTTTAGATGGCATGCACTATATTACATATTTTTGACTCCACAAAATCTGGAAGCATAGAAGTAAACGACAATGTCCTCTTGGTTTAAAAGTTCTCGATTTGAAAAAAAATTTCATGTATTTCCCTAATTTTGCGTATTTGGAGCTCTTTTGAAACACGAGAAAAATTTTTGAGGTGTCACATGATTTTACAAAAACGTAAAACATGTGCAAGCATAGATTTCAAAAGCTTACAACTTTTCAAGAAAAAGGATATTATTCTTAAAATAGTAAAGAATATCGATATAGTTTAATTGTATGTTGAGTTTTTTAACAATTAAGTAATAAAAAAAAAAACTATTAAAATAGTACCAAAATATAATATAAGAGATATAATTTTAATGTACGTTGAGTATTTTTACATTTTAATAATAATTAAAAAAGATTTTATATAAACTTTATAAGAAAAATTTACATTTAATAAAAAATCCCGTATATCTCGCCCCAATGTACCATGTTCGCAGATTTTAAACAAATACGTAATCATTAATCCTTTATAATGAATTAGCCTGATCTCACTAAGAAAATGGTTTCAGTTTTATATTTCCAGAACCTCACAGAAAATGCCGACACCGAATACATTAAAACTGCGTTGAGCGTCAATACGGAATTGAAAGAGTAATAAAGTAACAACTTGCGGCAGTGCTCGATAACTCTATAAAAGTGACATGTTTCTTTTTTGCCGTTCTGAATTAAAAATAAGAAATCCATTTCTATTAGCAATTTTCACAAATCAACTGTGCGGATTATTTAAAATGTCTGATTCCGTTGTTAACACTAATTATAATTATTTGAATCATAATGATTTGCTAGGCTTAAGTAAATGCCCTTACCAATTAACCCTTTCTATTGAAGAATTAACCAAACCATTTGTAAAAAATTGTGACGAATCTGATAAACCACCACGACCACAAAGCAGCTGGATAATTTTTCGAAGAGATTATGAAGCGCATTTACGTTTATGCTATCAACACGTCAAACCAAAAGTCAAAGAAACAGCAAAAGAATGCAGTTTAAAGTGGCGAAAGCTACCAAGCGAGGTTAAGCATTTATTCAAAATATTAGAGAAGGTAGCTTGTGAGAACCACCAAAACTTATATCCTAATTATAAGTATAAGCCAAAAAACACGAAAGATACAACCAATAAGAAATGGATTTTTCGCGAACAAAAGAAATATGCGTTTGCTCCGCTACCCATGTCTAGCTCGCCCACTTTAAGAAATGAAATCTTGAATAATACAGCATCAATAATTGAATGTAGTCGTACTGTTATCACCACTTCAACAATTATTGATAATACTTATCCTTTTATGATCAATACTAATATTAATGCTACTGCTACTGCTGTTGTCGTTGATGATTATATTACGAATATTTATGAAGCTCCTATCAATGAGTCGATAATCATGATAATGTCTCTCAACAATTCTTCATCGCTAAACCAATTCTTCACTAATAATCCAATAACGTCATCAATATCTTTATCCTTGTCAGAATCACTCTCACAATTATTTATTCCAGAATATGCTTATTAAATATTAATTTTGAAAATTTGTTACATGATAACTTTTCTTCTGAATATTTTTTCCGTATATGATCTATAAAATCACTTAGACAAATAGAGATTTGAACTTCACTATATGTTGCAGCACAAATTAGATAAATTTGAACTTCGCTATATGGTGTATTGATACTAAGCACAAATAAGTTAATATAGATTCTTTCGACAATCATTCTTTGCAACTAATATAATTTATTCGATTATTCATACTTTAGTTTATTAATTTGTGTTGTCTGTTATTTCGTTTGTTTTAATAGTTCGTTGTGTCTGTTTTTTTTTTAGTTCGTTTAGTTCTTTAGCTGATTATACTTATTTAATAAAATATCAATTATCAAAACTTTACCGAGATTTCTAGCCTATGAAACTTTCATAATTTGATTCGCAATTGATTGACAAAATCATGTGATCTAATTATTGAACGAGCTTTTTTAACGTTATGCAGATTCATGTGACATAAGTACATGTTCTACTTTTACAATGCATATTGCTTCTTGTAATTTAGAATTTTGTGCAAAAGACAAATTGAGATTCCCATGATCAACAAAATTCTGCACATGATTTTTAAGGTCATTATCAGAGTTAAGGTTAAAGTTGAAGATCAGGTTATATGTAAAATTTTCTTCCCAACATTTTTAATTAGTGCTTTAAAATAGATCTGGGCATCTGTTTGCTTGTATTTTTGACTTTCTCATTTCCTGTGTCGGATGATCGACAAATATTTGCGCATTCTCATTGGTTAATCAAGAACACGGGGCTGGAACTGGGAGCAGATAACTTGATAACATCATAAAAATCAACATTCCAAATTATTATATCCAAATCTATGAAATTTCTTATTAACTTAAAGTAATTTCACTTCAAATTTATTTAAGCAGTAAACAAAAATCGTGTCGCTGCCACATTGCATAATAAATAAGATGAAGGAAATCTGTAATGAAATGGATACAGAATGACAATACTTCAATTGACTCTATACTCTCTTTATCACGTAGTATCTCTACGAATTCAAATTCAGCTAATAAAAGTATAATTTCAACTAATCAAAGTACAACTTCAACTATTCCAATGAAAAAGGAAAAAATTCATGCAATGAAAAGCAAAACCAAAGAACAGTTATGTCATCGCCGTCGTCGTTATTATCGTCGTAATTTGTGCTCGAGAATCGATTCCTCAAATTAAAATCGATTAATCGAGTAATCGAAATAATTAATCAGATTTTGAATCGTTTCTGGGTTAAGAATCGATTCTATCCCTAATCTGAGCTCAATCAAATTCCACCGAAAACCATTTCCCTGCGGATAGCAGCAATTTATCATAAACTAGCCCGTGTATGACAATTCGTTGTCCATATTACGCAGCCTTTCTATAATGCACTTCCATGTATCATCGACGAAAGCAGGATCATAGATCAAATACAATATAGCGATAGATCATTAATCAAATATGTGAAATCTATATTGTTGTGTTTGTGTGTTATGTATGAAATGAGACAGAACGCATTAAAGAACCATTTGTGCGTGTGTGTGAATAATAAAAGGCCCTTCCTTCCTTTAATGATAATAAGCAAATCGATTTAGATCATTCTAATAAATCAGAGAATCAGAAGAGAGCCATTTATTATTTTAAAAGTCTTTTTATTATTCTAAAAGTAGCCGAACAAATTCTCTTTAATAGGCAATAATATTAACGAATATGAGTAGGTTTTTATATGCATAATGTAAATTTAAAGGATTTTGAGTCTAACGTGTTGCTATATTATAAACATAGTGAATGTACTTGATAAATGAAAATTAATATAAAGTACATGTCAAAGCTCTATATAACGATGGATCGACTCAAGCTCAAAAAAATCGTTATAATGAGCATTAAAGAAAAAATTCGTTATAAACAAATGCTTTTTATTATAGTCGGGAATTTCCAAAAGTTTGTAATAACCGAATCTTGTTATATAAGGGGATCGTTATATAGAGCTTTGACTGTAGTTGTTAATTTCTTAGAATAGGATCAAACATTTTTCAATAATAAATTTGCACATTATTGGTATCGTATCGTAGGTCGTACTCCGTTATAAATGTCTAATACGAGATTTCTATCATGACTTCGCTCACCGAATGTTCGTTCACCTGTGACAACCTCGCATATAACCATCTAGAACCTATCGTTATAATATCTGCAACTCTAATGTATAGCTTTCTTTGGACTCATGTAAGGAATAGATTAGCTGGACCGAAAAATCCAAAATCAGCAATAATCATATATATGAAAGTCACAATACACGAATTCCTCTGTTTTGATTTAAGCATTCTTTCCAAGTAAACTTTTCATATTCGGAATTAATATATTTGCGATTGCATAATCCAATCAACTGATATCGATATTTATATCTATATTCGAAAACTTGATCGTACTAGAAAACAAAAAATCAATTTGCATACATTTCATTTTATAAGCTCTAATTTAATTTGCTTTTAATCATGTATTGACTTCAACACGACTTTGTATCATTACATGGTCTCATTTTTTATTCAATGGTCCGTCCAACCAGGCAGGTTGCTTTATAAATTGTTCCAAAACCTCCTTTTGCAAGATATTCAACCGACCGTCGATATCTTCCGCTAGACAAATCAGCCTTATAAATTTGTATAAATTCGTCTGTGATAATCAAAGCATGATAAATGGTACATCTACTCTGTAGTATTTAATATATAAATAGCCGTATTCACTACACTCATGAGTATTAGATTCCGTCTTTATGTGCAGTGCTTTATTTAAACTTTGAAATGAACGATGATTTATGTGTGTCCGTTATGCATGAAAATAACACAGGAACGCAACATGCGTTTGGTAGCTTAATAAATCAGACATGTGTATGATTAACTTCCATTCGTGTCTTTATCCTGTATCGATTTAAAATGAGGCAGAATGCTTTTTTGTGACGGAGAAGAACTTCTATTCGTGTTAGGGGGACTGTTAATTGGTCCGATCCTCGTGAAGAAGGATTGTTGGAACTGAAGATCCTATTAAATTCCTGTAATACGCATGGAAGTCAATTTTTATACAAAATTCCATACCTTGTGCAATAATTCCATCCTTTGATCCAGTGTTAGTTCTTTTCCGTAACACATGAATGCGATATTTGTAAATACAAAATTTTTTCATAAACATAGGTATGGGTCTATAAAATAACACGCATACATGCAATCACAATCTGAAACTTTACAATCAATCTCTCTAACAGGTATTTCTTCAATTCTCTGGGGATTACGGCCAGCCTTTCTAAAGACCAATGGTCTTTGAACCGAATCGGACTGAATGGACCGATTAACAGCCCTAATTTGTGTGCGTGTAAATAATAAAAGTGTCTTGCTTTTAATAAATTATACGTGTTGTTTCTCATGCAAGTAATATCATCATCGTTATGTTGCTTAAGCCAGTGGATTGATAATGTCCAATCCTCTGAATTGAACAATTGTTATATATATATAATAGTGTTTCGGGCGAAATCGAAATTCATAGCATGGCGAAATTGGGCGAAATTAATTTCGTCAACAATCAAAAATTCCGAATTGCCTAAATTTACTAAATTCGTCTAAATTGTCCGAATTTGTCTAATTTGCCCAAATTTTCTCGCTATTTAGATAATCTACGTATGACTCTTAACTAGACATCAGATGTCCGTCCTTTCTTTCTCAATATAGTATCTGAAGATCCTCTTCTGAACACGTTTTTATTTTTCAAAACTCATCAACTGTAATGAGACCAACTAAAAACAGAAAAAAGTTAAAGGCCAGTAGACCAAAGTCAATTGTTTGGGAAAATCGTGCAAAACGAGAAAAAAAGATTTCTGAAGGCATGAAGCAACTTGTTCATATTGTAATACCTTTTGGAATAAATGTTCTCAAGAATTAGAAGCACATTTTGCAAATAACTACTCAAAAATTCCACCCAAAATAAGAGAATTCTTTTTGAATCGACTTGTGACAGAGACTGAAGGCAATCCTCAACCAGTATCTAAGAAACAAAAACTTAATACGAGAGGAAATGAACAAATAAAAAGTTCTGATTTTCATGAAGCATTAAGCTTACTGAAAATAGAATTCAAAAAATCAATCGGGCTTGTGTAAAAGCTTTTGTCTTATGTGGAATACCTTGACATGTGATCAAAAATCCATTTTTTGTGGAATTTTTAAAACATTACCAGGATATACACCTTCCTTCAAAGAAACACTTTCTGACCAACTTCTTGCACAAGAAACAGCAATTATTAATCTATGAATGACTACTCTTAATTTATCATTTTAATTTTATTACAAGCTTGCGATGGTCTAATCTAGTGAATGAACCGATTTGAACTTTCTTATATATACACATGATAATAAAAAATATTTATGGTGCTTGAAAAATTTATTAAATGAAAGTCATACTGATTCTCTATTTACGGAAGAAATGAAAGTAGTTCTTGAAAAAATCAGAGTAGAAAATTTTTTGCTGTGGTATCTGACGCAGATGCAAACGTTCAAAATGCTCGACAGATAATTACAGTGCAGTAATCCAATTCTTGCAAATATTTCACTATTTGATTTATTTCAACTAAAGATATAAATAATTAATAATTATATTATTTTTTATATTCAGAAATTCTTGGTGCATTATATATGATTTATAAAAAGTTAGAAAGAATTAAATATGGTTAATTATAAAATAAGTATATTAATATTTGTTATATTATTAATTTAATTTTAAAAGATATATATATAAATTACTTTTGTAAATTAACTATTAACAAAATAAAATATAATATATTTTTTTAAAAAATTTATCAAAAGATAATATATAATTATTTAAAAAATTAATAAAAAACTATTAAATTAAATATAATATTAAAAAAATAAAATTTATAATATAGTAAAAGACTAAAGTAATAAATTAATATATAATAATATATTATATTATTTATTATAAAGAATTTTTGAAAATACAAGCAATTTATTTAATAATATAAAATTGCTATATTAATTAAGTAAATAAAAAAAGTAATAATATTATTTATAAAAATTATTATTATATTTTATATTTTTATTAATTATTATAATTAATAATAAATAATAATAAGAATTAATTTGATTTAAAATCTAATAATAACTTATTTTTTATAGAATTTATTATATTTTATTTTTTGATTTTTAATATAAATAACAGTAAAAATTAATCTAATTTTTAATTCTAATAACAAAAAAATTACTTAAAGATTTTACTTATTTTTATAGAATTCAAGTTATTTAATTTTATTAAATTTTAATTATATATTTTAATAATTTAAAATATTAAGTATTTAATTATTTAAAGTTTTTAATATTATTTTTTTAATTAATTAAAGTTTTTAATATTATTTTTTTAATTAATTATTAATTAGATTAATTTCTAACCTAGTTTTACAAATTTGTTTACTAATTAACAAATTAGCTCATAAATTTAAATAAAAATTAAAAAAAGAATTAAATAAAAAATATAATATAAAAATGTTATAATTTAAAAAAGATAAAAATATTAAAAAATAAAAATACAAAATTAAAAAAATATAATTAGTAATATTAAAATAATAAAAATATTTTCACTTTGTTTTTTTTATAAATAAGAAATAATAATACAATAAAATATTAAAATTGACATTGTTTTTTATATTAAAATTTGTTATTTTATTAATAAATAATTTTTATTTTTATACTAAAATAAAGATATTTTTGATATATATTCTTCTAGAATATTCTAGAATTTTTTAAAATTTTTTGTTCATTTGTATACGTGAAGAACATTTTTTTATAATTAAAATTGTAATTTTTTCAATTTTAATTATAAAAATTTTTTTTCATGTTTACAAGTGAACAAAAATTCTAAATATTCTAAAAAAATATATATCAAAAATATAGATTAATATCTTTATTTTAGTATAAAAATAAAAAATATTTATTAATAAAATAATAAATTTTAATATAAAAAAACAATGTTAATTTTATTATTTTTTTCAATTTTTAATAATATAGTATAAGGATATGTAATTAATTAAACAAAAATATTTATTCTAATTTAAAATTTCAAAATTTTAATAATAATATTTTAATGAATTTAATATAATTCAAAATTACTTGTATACAAGCTTTAAAGTATATAATTAAGAATAAAATAGTGAAATATTAAAAAATTAAAGATTTTTGTTTATTATATTATTATTTTTCAAGTTTTAATATATTAAGATTTAGATATTACTCTTATTTATATATTTTTTGCAAATATAAATTTTTATAATACTAATAATACTTAATATAAGAAATTTTTAATATTAAAAATTAATATAAAAAAATTATACTTAAAATTACTTTATAATAATATAAAAAAATTATTAATAAACTCTTAATATAAAAAAATTTTTATTATAGATTTAAATATTTTTTGATATTAAAAATTATTTGTAATATTAATTAATAATGTAAAATAAAATTATGTATATAATTATAAAATTATAAATAATAAATAAATTATAAAAAATAAATAAAATTATAAAATAAACTATAAATAGAGTTGTAAAAAAAGTTATAAAAAATATTTAATAAGTTATTTTATTGATTTTTTTATTTTAATTATTTTTGGAATTTTGTTTTTAATTATTTTTGCAATTTATAACTTTTTATAAATTAAAAAATTATTTTTATTATTATATGTTATTATTTTATTTAAAAATATTTCTAATAATTAAAATTTTTGATTAAAATTATAATTTGATAATTTATATATTCAAGTTTTTTTTAATAATATTTGTACTTTAATATTTATATTTTATTTTATCAAGAAAAAAATTATAATACAAGAATTACAATTATATTTATTAATTGTTTTCTTGTTCTTGCTCAACTCGAAGCTAAGAATACTTATTAAAACTTTTCCAAAAATATTTTATAAATTAAATATTAATTAAAGTTTTAATAAACTTTCAGTTATAACAAATTTCAAAACTTAATAAAGTTTATTTATTAATAGTTTATTATAATGTTAATCAATATTTTATTTATTAATACTTTATTATAATGTTAAACAATATTTTATTTATTAATATTTTATTATAATATTAATAGAGTTTTAATAGTTACTAATAAATTTTAGCAAATATTTTTACTTGTAACAAGAATCAAAAAATTATCTTAAAATGATTATTATATCTTTTATTACTAATATATTATTATTATTTTTAACAATTATATTAAATTTGCTAATTTAATATTTGTAATAATTTTTGCATTCAAAATATATAAATAAGTAACTTTGTATTATTATTCAATCTAGAAAAAAATAAATTAAAAAAAATTTAATTTCAAATTTTTATTAAAAATACAGAATTTTTTATTAATAATAAATAACTATAACTAAATTAATTATATGATATGAATTAATATATCAAATAAAATTATATTATATATATAAATTAAACCTTTTAATTTTCTCTTTGATAATACTAAATCTTTAATTATTCGATGATTTTTATTAAAGATAACTAACTTTTCTTAAAAAAATTATTTATTTTATCTTGTTTTTTAATTAGTTATATTTCATATAATAAAATATAAATATATATGATCTGACACAGTCTGAGGATAGACCGAGTCAAATTGGACGGACCGATTATATCACGTTTCAGTATTGAATCTACAAGTTCCATCTGACCAATCAAATCGCAAGATCAAAGTGTGACGCAAAAATTCAAAACAAGCGCCTTTTGTGTTCTAACAAAAAATATTCATTGCAAAATTTTACTTTGACTAAATGTAAAAAAAATACTAAAAAAGATCAAATTGATTACACGCAGATTATACGTAATGCATTCTAGAATTCCCAAAGATGGAAACAATTACACTACGTATATTAAAGTTAATAATCATCATCACATCATTATCGAATTATCTGCACGTCAATCAATATACAGACAAACATGGTAAAGTTTAAAAAATGGATATTTTGAAAAAATATAAATGTCGACGCTCATAAGCATATACCAACACTCAATTATCCACGATTCCACACATGACTATTCCGGAATTAAATGCATTTCTGAAAATAACAATTAACCAATAACAATTAACCAATAACACAAAGCCAAGCAATGTTTATCATGTTATCGACAATTCTGAAAACATGGATTATTGGTATACCAAAAACCAGCAACGTCACACTACCACCACAAGATGAAACTAACAATAATAATTTCCCGGCCCTGTTGGCTTGGGGAATTGCGATTCTATGGTTGGCTATTGCAATTAGTCGGGTAAGTAGATAATTATCTTGAATGATCGTAAGTATTTGATTACTGAGGGATGAAATAAAAGTATTTGTTGATTTTTTCTTCTAATCATACTTTCAATTTCTGCTTCATTCAAGTGGTTATATATTTCTATATGGAGTCTGTGGACAGGCGAGTCTACGCTAAGTGAGATATTATTAGGCGAAGACGATGAAGAGTATTGGGACGAGACTGTTGTTTAGAATTCGTATGTGTGGGGGAGATTTTTGGTCTATTATAAGCGAATGGGAAAGTTATGTATTTTGTGTGCACGTATGAAATTTATTGTTATCCGAGAAATAAAAAAGGTAACAAACTGAACTTTTTTTAGACGAGATTTTTCAATTAGAAATTGTAACTTCTTTACATGAGAGTTGAATTATTTTCCTAACTAATGACGCCAACAGGCGAAAGATTACATGTACAGTATTTATTAAAATTTTATAAAAAATTGACGCTAATTAATCATGTTAACGTTGTTGATGTTAGTAATGAAAAAATGAATGATTCGAACAAATATCAAATGAATAATTTGCTCTTTGAGAGAGAACAAAGAAGCAACAATAGCGTCGGATCATTCTTTTCTCGCGAGATAATGATCGGTTGTCATCATCACTTGCGCACCTTCAATGTCGTTATCATCATTGTTCTGTCCCATGGTAACTGTCGGTGCGTACAGATCCCCATTCTCGTATCTCACAAATTTTGGCAATGGACAAGTGAAGGCAGAGAATAAAAGTTCCTGCTTGAGCTGTTGATCATGCTCTTTTTTCTCTTCAGTGCACATTTGCTAAGTTGATTTTCAACATCCAGAATACGCATGCAGAATACAATGAATTAATTAGTTCGTCGATGCATTTAAAAATAGAAAACAATTACTGTACTTACTTCAGAGGTCATTCGGCTAAATTCCTCGGGATCAATCTGTCGCAATATTATCTTCTTTCGCAAATCAGGATTGGTGTTTATATTGTGGACTCGAGTTTTCACGGCCTGTCTGTATTCAGCCGTCAGTTGTTGGAGTCCTTTGTTGAATGCACGAAACAAGCAGATTTCAATGGTGCCGGATATCCACCATATGACCAAGTCTTCATCTGTTTTTGAAAGTCTTTTATTGTTATTACACAATAATAGTAATGAAAGTAGTAATTTTTTTATTTACCCGCGTCGGCAAGAGGAACATCAGAACATACTAATGCATTTCTGATTAGCTTCACACCTAAAAATTTTTTAAAATTCAAACTTTTTTTTGGTAAACACACAACCAGCCAGTTATATACAAACTTCTGTCACGCGTTATGTTTCCAGTTTCGTAACTGTATGGTGGCATTCTGAATCGTTATTTTATTTATTTCCCGAGACGAAAAATGGACGAAAAGAGTGAATACGTATTAATTTTGTGATGACGTTGTTGTTGTCGATATTATTATGAAAAAAGTACGTATCTCGATATACATGTAACAATAGTCTATCATCATCAAAATATGGAAACGATGATTATCGTTATTATGTTATTACTGTAAGGCATTTATATATATTTTTTGCGGTACAAATAACCATGTGACATGTGTTTGTGTGATCAGCATGATTTATTTGATCATTTTTTCTACTGATAGAAGAGATTTATTATGCCAAATAAATTATTTAACAGAGACTTATCTCTTACTTGTTATTCCAAAAAATCTAATCGTTCTTTATCGTTATTGGAAACAAATGTATCAAACACGCGATATTATTGTTGTACTGGTGTTGCTGATGTTTCTGATCGTCGTGCGTATCTTGGCTACCGTTTTCAAGGTAATTTCCAGGAACTGTCTAGGTTAATGAGATGATTGTCCAATTAGAGTAACTTGTTTGATTTTTGTAGAAGGAACTTGACAGATTTTTGCGTGGGTAGCTTTGCGTAACGAAAAGTTGGCGCTTGAGTAAATTTTGTTTGCTACATGTATACGAACACATGTGTACCGATACGAATACATGTAATATCGATATGAATTCCTAGGTTTTGATCGTCACTGCGTAACTAAATTTTTCCTTATCGTTAACGTTCAGGGTTGACAAAGAAACCAAAAATCAATGGACATTTTTATATTTATTTTCTATGATACATTACATAAATTAATATTATGTTGTATATAACGTAGCGACATAAATATTGTAGATATAGTAATTAATGTAATGGTTGTAACTAATGTAAGTATAAATATCATATCTGGAAATTAGTGGGAATTTTTCCCGAGGATTCGACAATTCATCGCGAAAAATTCCCACTAATTTCCAGATATTATATTTATACTCAATAACTTGATGTTGGCCTTACTAATAATGAATTCGACGTTGACTTTATTGATCAAGAACCTAGTGTTAATTCATCTTAAAAAAATTAATTAATCAAAATTCATAGAAATAGCATGCGGAAAATTGGTTAGTAATGGCTAATAAATTGAGCAAGAATCCCGATATTGACAGGTTGTAAAGGTTGTAACTAATGTAATGTTGTAACTAACGCTAATGTAAATGAATATTTTCAATCATTGACACTGTATAGATATGTGCTACGAGTTTATTTTATTTGAATATTTCTTTAATAGAAAATATTTTTCGAAGCAAAATGAGACTCTTAGTCTTACGAGAGATGCGAAAAAGCTTAGTGTCACTTTATGAATCGCATAACTGTTATCTGAATTTGAAATTATGTTCGATGAACCTTCATTGGTTCTGTCCGTTTAAAGTTCTACGGTGTAGGAACTCTTAGATAGACAGTATGTTTCAATTTCAAAATGTTACTACTCATATCACATGACTTTTTCAATACAAATATATAATATTTTTTTATTTTTTAGACTATTTGAAATTTAAAACAAATTTGTAAATAAATAGTTTGAAAAATAAAAAATTTGATTTTTACTAATAAAATTATTTTTAATATAATAAAAAACTTTTTATTAAGTTAAATTTTATAATATAATAAATATAATAAATATTATTTAATTTAAATAATATATTTATTTAGATATATTTTATTTATTATCTTTTATCTATTTCAAATTTGTAGAAAAACAATTTAAAAAAAATATATTAAAAAACTACATGTTTTGACAAAAATTTTTTATTATATTAAAAGTTTTTGAAAATTTATTAATAAATTTTATTAGATAGTTATAAATATTATTTATTATCTATAAGTTTAATTAATTTTTATTATAATAAAAATATACTATAAAAAATTACTGTATATATTTAAAATTAATATAATTTTTAATAGAAATTGAAATATAATTATATTATTATTAAAATTTTTAATATTAAAAAATATATAGTTTAATTCTATATTACAAAAAATAATAAGAAAATATATTAATAATTGTTAATATAACTAAATTATTAAAATTTCTAATATTATATAATTAATAATTCAACAATAAAAAAATATAAATATAATTTAATTCTATATTACAAAAAATAATAAGAATAAATTATTATATAGTGACAATTCAAAATAATATAATGATATCAAAATTTATTAATTAAATATAGTAAAATACATATTTTTCTTTTTATATAAAAGTTTTCAATTTTACTAATAAATATTTTTTATTTTTATATTAAAATAAAAATAATATT